ATAAAGGCTTGTTGTTTGAATTGGAACGATTCAACAAATGTGCGTTTTAAGCCCACTTTGTTTGGTGGCAAATCCGCAACTTTAAGCCCACTTGAGGTGACAAATTCAAACCATTTTCGAAAACAAACATGAGTTGAATTGTTCCAAATCGAGTCTATACTTGCTTGTGTGCATCACATAGTAAAGCTAGTTTAATAATCGGAATAAGAGCACATAATGTTTATGAAAATGCATATAATAATTAGTAGAGGTTGATCTTTGATCAGGCGAGTGGGGGTGCTCATTTCAAAACCTTCCCCTCTTGTACTCAAGTTTCCGAGCTGAGGCAACTTTGGTGATGTCGGACACGTGGCCTTTGGCACGAGTCAGGATTTCTTAAATTTTTCCAAAATAAAATATTTATGTGGTGATTCTGTATCTGGCAAAGCAGTCCAATTTTGACATTATTTGATTTAAAATCGATTTTTCAAAAAGGTTTGCCAGATTTGGACTCTTTGGTGTTTATCGGTTACTTAACATACAACTCTCCACCTTTATCTGGCCTTGGGACCAGCGGAGTTACAAAAGATGCCTCATCCCCTATTTTATTACCCTCAATTGCACCTCTAATGAGGTGGCAATCAATAACAACCAATCAATTCTCTTCAAAGTGTGAACCACTTTACATGAGAGTGAGTCACATCTTTAGAAGTGGAATTAGGGGTGTAAAATTGGAGAGATGTATCACCACCAACCATCGCAAAATAATATTGCTTATTAGATAATGATTCTGATTGTTGCATCTGTCTTCATGCATAATTCATATAAAATTTATATAGAAATATAAAAATTTAATCCAAATGATGTGACAGGTACATTTTGATATTATAAGTTATCAGTAAAAATATGTACACATAATTTATGTGCAAAATACATCTAAAAAAATAATATGACTCATAATCAACTCTAATTTGGTGGAGCTCACATTTTAAATGAATTTGGATCACACTATTTTGAGTAATTTTTTTACAAATTTTTTGTGTTCGCATCTATAATCTATTATATTGGGTGTTGATATTATAAATGAATTTTTTTTTTTTAAATATACATATATAGAGGGGGAAAAATCATATGTAAGTCATTATTACTCATAATTATGCAACGTCTTTGTACAATAGATCCAAAAGGGAAAAAGAACTTTTCAGAAACAATAAGAACATGTTTATAAGAAAATACAATGGAAATTATTGTAGTTATGCAAAGGTTTATATTCAAAATATTTCAATTTGTGACTCGTTTTTTATTTTAATACCAAGAGGTTTAGTCTAGTAAATGAGACATTTTTCAAAGAAGGGGACATTGTTATGCTTAAAGCACAGCAGACTCTCGCCCTATTAAATAATGTCATATTTTGTTATTTTAAACTTCATATCTAAGTCTACGTCATATCATTTTCTATTCCCCTAATCCTTTTTTATAAGAATCAAAAAAAAAAAAAAATCAAACAAGCAAACAAGCAAACAAACAAACAAAAAAAACAAACTGACTGCAATCTCCCACCAAGAGGGTTCAGCTTATGGCCTCTCTCCAATTCCTATGGATTGGATTCGCTTTGCCAAGACCATCCTGGAAAATTTTGTGGTTCTTTCATACATGATAAATCCAAGCAACATATAGTGTTGTGATGTAAAGTATTTAAGGTTTTTAAATTTGTTGTGATGTCTTTTATTTTCTCTGTTGTTCCCCAAAAGGAGTAACAGAGAATTGGTATATCAAATGTTCTTTTAAAATCTCCATGAAATTCAAGGTCAGGAGCTTCAAGATGCCACCTATTTGAGCTCAATTTGTTAGGTATATATCTTTTTGAAGCAAGCCAATGGGTTGGGGCACGGGCCGGGCCTATGGGCCGGTCCAGGCTTCAAAACGATGGCTCAACCCCATGCCCAATGCCTCGAATTGGGCTTGGGCCCGGGCCTAAATGGGCCTTAACGGGCTGGGCTCACTTCGGGCCACCCGTGGGCCACTGGTTAAAATTACACCTCTTGTGATTGCTGGTTTAATTTTTTTATATTATTTTCATTTTTTGGATTGATTTACATTGGTGAGAAATCACCTATTTTTCTTGACATGACTTATGTTCAATTTTTTTTCTTTTTTCTTTTTTTTTTTTGACAGAAAATCAGTTGTCAATGGTTAGATTAGTATTTTTTTTTTTGACATAAAATGTTTGACTTCTTTTTTTATTTTATTTTTTTATCGACGAAAATCAATTGTCAATGGTTAAATTAGTACTTACGAAAATTAGTCTCCTTACCCTTGTAAAGTACTAAGTATTTGTCTCATTAATTTAACTTCTTATTAGAGAGAGTTGAACCCATGACGTTCTTATTGGGACTAAATCCTTAGGTTTCGTTTGATTACAAGGAAAATTTGGTAAGAAGTGAAAGTAAAAGAAAATAAAGTGAAATAAAAGAAATAGAAAAGAAAAAATATTTTCTTCCAAACATTTGATTAAAATGAAAATTTTGTAAGAAAAATTTAAAAATTTAGTTACAGATGACTCATATATTCAATTTTTCTTATGTTTTCTTATATTTTTGCAAGAAATAAAAAATTAGTTACAATGGTAATATGAATTGTACAAGAAAATTAGGGTTGCGTGTGGTTCTTTTTTAGAATTATGATGCCAATCAAAAAATTTCAAAATTCATAATCAAACATACAACTCAAAACTATTCAAAACTCAATTCAAAAATTATTTTCAAAACTCATAACTAAACACACAATTCAAAATTCTTTTCAAAATTCAAAATCAAACTTTTTCAAAACTCTATTTTAAAAAAAAAATTCAATTTTTTTTTTTTTTGTTTTTTCAAATTATTTTTAGAATCATGATTTGACTGTGGAGTCGTGTTTTGATTTAAGTTGAATTTTGAAAAGAGAAAATTTATTTGGTTATGAGTTTTGAAAAAAAATTGAATTTTGAATTGTATTTTCAAATTTTTTGGATTTTTTTAATATTTAACAAATTTCTTAATTTTATTTTTTTTAAGGTAAACATTTTATATTTTAAATATTTATTTATTTATTTTAATGTGTGCTATATTTCATATATTTGTGTGCTGTATTTTTTTAAAAATATTGTAAATTTAAATATTAAAATTTTTTATTTTAAATATTTTTTATTTTATAAATATGCTTTTAAATATTTTAATTTTTTTGTTATGTGAAAAAAAATAAAATTTTCTTAAACATTTTAAATATTAAAAATGAAATAAATCCAAAAAATTTCAAAATATAACTCAAAATATAATTCAAAACTTTTTTCAAAACTCATAAGTATACAAATTTCTTCTTTTCAAAACTCAAGTCACAATTTCACACTTAAATCACAACTCTACACTTAAATCATAATTCTAAAATTAAACTAAACGAAACCTAATTTTCTTATACTTTTCACCACTTTCAAGTTAAACAATCTTGTAGAACCTAAATATTTTCCCTTTCTTTCACTTTCTACTTATTTCATCATAAACGAGTCTCAAGAGAATCATGGTGGATGAACTCAAGCTCAACTTGTTAAAATATTCATTTGAGATGGATTCGCTATATTAACCAATCAAGGTTGAGCACATTTTTAAGTCAAGCTTTAATGGTTACTACCCAGGTCAACTCAATTATATACACTTTTAAAATAATAATAAAAATAAATAAATAATTCAAGCTATTTAAACTTGATTAGTAATCAACTCAATTAAAACTCTTTCTAAATCAACTTAGATCAACTCAAGTATGTAAACAAGCTAAACTTACATATTTAAAATTCGTTTAATTTTTAAGCTAAAATTTAAACTGCTTCCTAGTCGGCTTTTTTCTAATCCCAACCACAATTAACAGAGATATTGGAAAACAATAACAATTTTAAAAAAAAAAAAAAAAAAAAATATATTTATGATAATTGCATAAGATTTAATTAAGCCCTTTGTACCATGAAATCTAGCTGTCCCTTTATCCACTTGCCGAATTGACAAATTAAAAAAAATTAATTTACATTCGTTCGCCAGATTAACGGATGCAAATTGGACAGATTAACGGATAAATGTGAATCAATTTGACAGTTTAAATTTTTACAAATTTTAAACATAATATAACTTATCAATATATTTTTTTTTAAATAACAATCCAACTCAACATAATTAAAAGATTATCAAATAAATTGTCAAATACCAATAATAAATACATATAAAAAAAATCATACATTATCAAAATTATTTTATTATTTTTTTTATATTTAAAAACTATTTAATTTGATTTTTTTATTAAATAAAAAAAATTAAACCTTATATTTTTCACACAAAAATACCAAAGATTAACACTTGTCATTTGATAAAAAGATTTCTAAATTGAAAACACAATAGAATATTTAAACTCTTTTTCAATTAAAAACACAAACAGAATATTTAAACAAATTAAAAACACAAAATCTTACAAGTCAGTAGGAGTACTCGCAGTTTGACGATGCAGCCAAAGAAACCTCAAATCCATCATTAATCCAAAACTAGACGAATTGAAAAAAAATCAATCCGTAACCGTTTGCTCATCGTGATGCATCCGTTCAGAATGCGACGGATTAGTTTAATTCGGTCAGTTAGGTTCGGTCAGTTAGGTTCGGTCAGTTAGGGAGGATTGATATATCCTAATGCAAACCATAATAACAACCAGGCAGCAGCACAATTCTCTACTCGTGGAATTTCCATAATAACCTCAAAATTATTAACACGATGTCAAAAAAAAAATTAAATAGAAGGAAGCAACCTCCCCCTCAAGGGTTCTAAAGTCGTACAAAAGTTTCCAAGCATTTTCGAAAGAATAAAGAGAAAATTCTCTAGTTAGTTCTCACACTTTCTATATACAGTCCGTCTACCGGCAATTGCAGAGAGAAATCAGGATGCATTAAATTAGTAGCAGTAAACTGCCCATTTGCTACAATCTCTTTTCATTAAACTACCTGCAAACAATCGAGAATTAACAACAATTTCATTCTACTTCAATACAACAATATATTATCATCAGTATAGAAGTGTGCAGATGTTCTAAAGCAAATGATGGCCTCATAATATACACAATATAATCAGAGTCTACAGCTCTAGGTGGAGAGAGATTCCAATGACTGGATGACTTACAGCTCACCAATCAGTCAACTGACACAACATTGCCACAACAATCGATCAAATTACAGGCAAAAAGACAAGAAAAACAACCTGTTCAAAGTGCCATTTCTGCCTGTAATGCTGCAAGTTCGTCTTCCTCGGCGGTGCGTTTCTGAGGAGCCGCACGAGCTGGTATCCTGCCTGCTGGTGCTTGCACTGGGGCTGCAGGAGCCGTTGTGGCAGGTTGAAGAAGCTGTTCCTCCAACTCGGCACCTTCCAATTCTTCAAGCTCTGCTTCCAACTCATCCTACAATAAGAAAATGTAATTAGTAATAGATTTACATTGTTGATCAGTTTGGTTATTGAAAACATCGAGAACAAGAATACGAAGTAGTCTTGAACGGAGCTGAGAAATATGAGAAGAAAAACCTCATCAAAATCGGCCGCTGCACCAATGGGTGTAGCCAATGCTTCTTGAATCTGTTTCATGTTTTCGGTCTGCTCGTTTATTTCATCCATGGTCTTATCCACATCATCAATGTTACTGTATCACATGATGTCAGTTCAAAATAATTGTGTCAATTTAAAATTTAGTGTATGTTTCAATTGTTACACATCATATGCTGCATGCAGTGAAATAGAATTCAAGTAAAAAGCCAGATTCACTAATTTGTTTGGGAAATTTCTTTCCTCGTTAGCCTTTCTTGCCTCATCAGCAAATAGGCCAAAATAAAGAGTAAACTGAAATAAAGATGGCAACAGGTCAGGACCAGGACAGGGTAACCCTTTACCAACCCTGACCGAGGAAAATATACCTCTTCCCAAACCCATCCTGAACCCATGAATAGTCAGGGGAGGTCAGGGTGGGGTAAATCTTATAGCAGTTTTAATGGGCCAGCCAGAGTGTTTTGCCTGACAAGTTAAGAACTATGAATAATTGGAACAAATGGCAGTGAATTCCACACAATTTAATGGCCAAGATCCCATCAAAGTGCCAGAAATCTAGCTGTCCCTTTCTATTTCAAACTTTTTCTCCACTCTAATATCTTGTACATGTGGCCCACAAAGAGACAACAGTAATGTTGGTTTAACATTCACTCAAATTGTAAGGGGACTTTGCTTTTATAACTCAAGCGTCCCTCATATTTGTCTTTCTGTTCCAATGTGCAATCAAGTCTGCTTAGCATTTTGTTATTTGAATATACGACACTTTTTATGTTGTATCCTTGATTGTATACAAAGAAACTTCCCAAAATATCTATATGAAAAGTCAGAAGACTCTTAAACCATTATAAGTATTCATCACCCCTCATTTATATGTCTCTGTGAAAAAATTTACGAGTACCAGAATGCCCCAAATATTGTGTGTAATAAAAAAAGTATAATCAGGGCAGCGTAGTCCTGGGTCCCCTCATACCAATCCTGCCCCAAACCCATGTGGGGTAACGCGTAGAGTCCAAAACCCACCACTAATCCAATTGGTTGCCTCAGAAGTGCTAACCCAAATGTGGTCTAGAACTTCAAAAAATAAATAAATAAAAAGAGAACTACTTACGTTGCTTTCTGCATGGCCTTCATTGCAGATGCTCCAGTTCTCAATGCATCCACGGTCTCTGTTGTAGCTTTTGCACCTTCTAACATTATCATCTGCAACATCCACCCATGACATATGAATTCAAGAATCATTCTTTTAATGGAAATTAGCATTGAACACTACTTGGATCAAAGGGGCTATACAAAAAACCTAAGCTAACCTGGTCGTGGATTCGCAGTTGGAAATTTCCAAGCTGCTCAATTTGTTGTTCGTAGAGCCTCTTCCTCTTCAAACATTGTATAGCCGCTGCAAAATAGCAATTGGGTTTCAGATTCAAACCAAATAGTAGTACATGTATCTTCTTAAAGGCAACCAATTTACAATGAGCATCAAGAGAACTATATATAATCAGGTTTCAGATTCAAACCAAATAGTAGTAAATGCACCTTTTTAAATGAAACCAACTTACAATGAGTATCAAGAGAACTATGCATATCAACAAGGAAGCAGTTAAAAATTTAATGAGAGTCCATAATATAACTAAATATTGAGTACCGGAAGATCAATGCCTATCAATTCACCTATGTCAGCCAAATCAAAAATAGTTATACCAAGCGAAAAAGACAAAACAGAAATGGAACTATAACACTACCAGCTGGTTATATTATATATGGACATCAAAGAACAATTTTGTAAAACAACTAAATTTTCATCGAGTGTCTAGCTACTCAATGTTAATAGAATAAAATACGCTGTGAAGGGGGAAAAAATGCAAGCAATTCAAAACTATACCTCTCTTGTTCTTTGCTCTGGTAAATTCCTTGGCCTTTTCAACTTCTCCAGCAGCCTTCTTCAGGAGTACTTTCTCCTTTTTTTCAAGCATTTCAAGTGTCTGCAAAACATCAAAAATAAAAGACTAGTGCCAAAATGGGAACTGACATAAAAGCAACAACAACAGCATCACAGTGTCATGCACCCGCGCCCCGCAGTCAATTACAAGTAAAAGATTTTCAAATGCACAAAATCCCCACCCCCACCCCCAGGTCTTCCCGTTAACAGAAGTTTTCATAAAATAGAAATAATATTCCATCAACTACCCATATGGCCTGAAATAATAAACTTCATAATTTGAAAATAGAGATCACAGGTAAGATTGTCAGCTTGACAGTCACTTGAAACAAATCGCAAGAAGCTCAGCAACAACAGTGCCGCTGAAACAGATGATATACTCTCAATCATGCAATTTGAAGAGGGTATTGACTACTACCCATTGCATTCCAAACTCATCCCCTCCTGATTAACATTTCCACAAACCACCTACAGAATGACTCATCAAAATAACCATTCAATTTCAATTTCAAATTCTTGAATCATTTCTAGATTAATCCCCCCAAAAAATCAATCACTGAAACGTCAGTAATCAGACTACGGTCACATACATGGAAACGGAATCAGATTAGCAAAAAAAAATCACATACAAAGATTTTAATTAAACACGAAGTAAATCAAATCAGAAGCTCATGCAACAGTGACAACAATACAAAAAGTGGAAAATTGTTTGGTTTAGGGTCACCATACCTCGTTTAACTTGTCTAACGTGGTAAGAGCATTGGCCTCTTCCTTGGGTTTGCCAAAGAGCCGAGAAAACATGGTCGATCTTCTGAAACAATCAAGAGCAAACTCAGATGAGCCCTAATTTCGATCATCCAAACACGTTTCAAAGAAAAAGGTTCGATTTTTTGCTTCAAAGAAAAAAAAAGAAAACAAGGCAGATTAAAAGAGTACCTGTGAAATTGATGGCAGGGCTTGAGAGTCAGCGATCGAGCGAATTTAGGGTTTACGAGCAATAGAGAGGTAGGGGGATCGAGATTTGGGGAAACAACGAAGAAGGAGAGGGAGAGAGAGAGAGAGAGAGGTTTTCTTAGCCGCGTTGATTGGCTTTGCCTTGGCCTTTCCGTACGTCAGCAGCCACTTGATTGTATAGATATTAATATCGAGAAAATAGTGTTCCAGAAATTTTTTCAAAAAAGTAATAAAAATAAATATATGTAAAAGTAATAAAAATAAATATACATATATATGTAAAAATAATGCAAAAATCAAAAGCACTACAGTTTTTATGGGTTGAGATTCTCTCATATTGAAATCTTAGAGAATTTGAGAGACTCGTAAATTCTACTATTGTTTTAGTCATTCGAATAGTTCATTTTGTAAGATCTTTAATGTGTATCATCTATAAAAAAAAATTAAGTTACTCTGTTAATCGTAACATTTTTATTTTATTACATTTATCTCTAAAAAATAGATGATCTATTTCAAATATATATTTTTCGTCTATTTTTTCAGACACAAATGTGAATAAAAAAAAATTACAATAATTGGATTGAACTCATTTTTTTATGAATAATATATATTGAGAGTCTTACAAAATGAACGGTTCAAATTATCAAAATAAGACTTATAATAGTTCCTATAGGCCTCTCAAATTTTCTCATGTTGAGATCTTAATATGAAAGAAACTCAACCCAATATAGTTTTATCTTTTTATAAGGTTGAAACAATTTTTAAAATTTAAAACATATTTTTTATTTTTATTTTTGTCAAGTTAATTTATCTTTTTCAAAAAAAATTAGAAAATCAAACCAAATATTTCTTGCGATTTCAAATCTCTGTTTGAAACAACTTGAGAGGTTTGTGCCACCTATTATAAGTCTCATTTTAATAATTTAAATTATTCATGTTGTAGGATTCTCCGTGTATATCATTCTTGAAAAAAAATAGTTCAATTCGATAATCATAACATTTTTATTTTATTATGTTTGTTTTCAAAAAAATAAATAGCCTATTTTCAAAAATATATTTGGCGTCTATTTTTTTAGATACAAACGTGATAAAAATGAAAAGGTTATGATTATCAAATCGAGTTATTTATTTTCACGGATAATATACACGAAAGATCTTACAAAATGAAAATTTTGAATCATCAAAATAAAATCTGTGATGAGCTCTAAGGACTTTTCAAATTCTCTTACATAGATATTTAAACTTGGGAGAAGCCGAACCATTCAAGGAACAATTTCAAGATAATTACACAGAAAAGTCTTACACTCTGCATACAAAATGGGACTTGCATTACATAGAAATGAATTTTTTTACTGTTGATTTAAGATTTCTCAAAAACCTAAGTTACATCATTTGATAAATAGAAGAGAGGAATAAGTGGACAAACAAAATGTGTTATTATATTTGATTAGGATAAATAAAAGGTTGCATCTCCGATGGTTGTGTTATTGGTTATACTTCAGGATAGGAAAACATCTCAATCCGCCACGTTCCTGACTCCTACCCTAATGGGATGAGTGTGGGAGTGGTTGCATAGGATAGGGTCAGATTTGGGATAACTTTTGAAAAATCGAATTGGGTTTATGGCGGGTAAAGGGGAGAGTATTTTTTTACCTAAACCTTACTTGACCCACAAATATAATAATAAATAAATAATATTATTACATATATTTTTAATATGTATATAATATATTGTTGAATTTTTATAGAATATATATAATATCTATTGAGTTTTTATTATGTTATATATAATATAATTTTAATATATGTACAATATATAATATATTTTTTAATTATAAATAATACTTTTTTTAGTTTTAATTATTAAATTTGAATATTATTGTTAAATTTCTTATTGTGTTGCAGATCAAGTAGGATTGGGGGTGAGAGTTATATTTGTAGGTTTGGGTGGGGTGGGGGAGAGTTCCATGAGGATCGAGTCAGGGGTGTAGTCAAGTGGCAGAAATGGGGATGAGAGTTGGGGTAAAGGTGGGGGTGGGGTAAGAGACCCTCGTCCCATACCCTATCCGTTTCCATCCCTAGTTATGCTAAATCCAAAAGATAGCTTGGCTTCACAAAATTGATACTTTGACAGTGTGCCATTGCCCTAACTAAGAAATGACAAAGCCATCTTGTTTCCAAAGGTTGGATCTAATTGGCTTGGGTTGAAATCATCCTAACTTCCAATATAGCGATCCTAATTTAGACCCAACCCATTTATTACTTTTGAATACGGGAAACCATTTCGTGATGGTTGTTCCTTTCTCTTTATGTTTGGTTTTGGCTTCAGGGGTCGACAGCATCCTTAGCGGAAAATGGGAATAGGAGTGGGACAGAGCGCCTAACCTAATACCTCTCTATTGCCATCCCTAATTATGTTAAATCCAAAAAATGGCTTGGTTTCATAAAATTAATATTCTAACAGGGTGTCATTGTTCTAGCCAAAAAATGGCAAAATTATCTTGTTTGTTGCCAAAGGTTAGATCTAATTGGGTTGGGTTGGGTTTGGTTGAAATCATCCAAACTTTCATCACTTTAGTACATAATAGTTGAATTTGGCTAATGATTGTGCCAAACTGACAAGTCTCCATTAAAATGGTATAATCATCAAAAATTAATTTTATAGTGCCCTTTAACAAATCAAAAAATGATTTTAACTAATCCATTTTAGCTATGACCATTAAAGATGCTCTTATAATCAACCCTTGTTAACCCCTATAGTTTGGAGATACTTTTAATTCCTATATTACCACAAATTTTATTACTTTCATTGATTTTGAGTTTTTAAATATAATTATTAAATTTTAAATTTTTTGTATTTTATTATTTATAATAAATGTTTTAATATTTTAATCAATTTTATTTTATTTTTTAGATGTATTTATTTTTTTATTTTTTAGATATATCTAATTCAAAGGTAAAATATTTGTGAAATCTATATAAATAATCAATAAATATAAAAAAATACAAAAATGTAATAAATTTTAAAAGTATTTGTATTGTTATTGAATTTTTAAAAATATTTTGTTCACAAATATTTTACTTTTTATAGGTACTTCTAAAAAATAAAAATAAAAAATTGATCAAAATATGAAAAATTAAAAACAAAAAATTATATTTCAAAACTCAAAACTAAATACTAGAGAATATGTTATTACATTTTTTTTTTTCTTTCATTTAATCGCAATACCAATGTTAAAAGTAAGTCGAAATTATAGGTGGTGTTTGGTGTAGCTGTTAAAACAGATTATAGATTATAGCTTAACAGATTATAGATTATGACTTTAATCAGTACTTAGCTAAACAAACCACGGATAAAAAAACATGTGGGCTTAGGAGAATCTCTCCCCTCCATACTTCAATACTCTGTACTTCTTTAAATTTTATTTTTTAGGCTCCATTTTAAGTCTACATTGATAATTTAAACCGTTCAACTCGTAATCCCGACGATCTAGATGAGTGATGCAAAAAAAAAATAAAAAATTCATTGGATGTCACTAAATATATGAATAAATTGCATCTTATTTTTTTTTTAAAATGAACAGTAATTATGAGTTTAAACTTAAACCTTTTATTCTATAAAATAAAATTTGATTTATTTAAGTATTTATCGATATCTGATAAAGTTATTTTTTTACACAGACGATCTTCATTGTGAGATTTACAAAATGAATGGTTTAAATTATTAATGTGAGCCTAGAATAAAGTCCAAAAAATAAAATATAGAGAAGTATGGAGAATAAGAATACTGAGGGAAGCCATACTCATGGGGTAGATGTTTCACAACACTTAATCTATTTTTTTATTTTTTAGATGGTTCGGAAATAATACTTAATCTATTTTTTTATCCAACAATCAAACATTGGATTAAAAATTTATGGGATCATATGTTCTCTCACTTTTTATCCATTTTAATACTGTAAATAAACGTGGTCATACTTAGGGCTGTAAATGAGCCAAGCCGAGTTGAGCTTTAGTATGTTTGAGCTTGTTTATTAAGATTTTAACGAGCTCAAGTTGAAGCTAAATAAAAATTTAACGAACCGAGCTCGAGCCGAGTTGGCTTAGGCTCGACTTGAGCTTGATCCTGTTCACGAACCTTAACGAGTCAAAAAATTTATAAATTCATGCTTACATATGAGACTAAAGTTATAATTAAAACTTTGATTATACAATTATATATACAATCTTATTTTTTATACATATTGTTATATTATTTAACATATAAATAATAAATATTAAACGAGCCGAGCTCACGAATGTTTGGGCTTGTTTATTAAAAATTTAATGAGCTCGAGCTCGAGCTCGAGCTCGAACGCAAAAAAAAATTAACGAACCGAGTTCGAACGAGCTCTTACCGAGTCGAGCTCGAGCCTGTTCACGAACGACTCTGTTCATTTGCAGCCCTAGTCATACTATCATTCGTATAAAATATTGTATATAAAATTAGGTAAATATTTTATTTTTGTCCCTGATTAATCCAATCATATATGAATAGTGTACAAACAAAATTTTTTACAAACTTTCTTCATATGTATAGTATTAATAAATTAGAAAATTGTATATTGTGATACTATATTCATTTTGGAAAATTCTATAATTGACACCCATATGCCCCAATTATGGCATTTGTAATATTTAGTTATGATTTATTGTCGTATTAATTATGGCATGGTTATGATTTATTGTGATATTAGTTATAATCACTGTGTTTGATTTTAATTTTTTGGATTTAATTTTCTGAAAATTAAGTTTTTTTATTTTTCATATATATTTTTTTTTGTTTTTAGTGAATATTTTTAAAATTTTAATTTTTTTTTTTACTTTTTTAGATGCACATTACTTAGATGTATCTAAAAAATAAAATATTTGTACAAAATATTTTTAAAAAATTAATAAATACACAAGAATACAAAAATGTACTGAATGTTCTTTTTTTTTTGTATTTTTGTTATTTAGTAAATTTTTTAAAGATTTTTTTCACAAATATTATACTTTTTAAGTGTATTTATGTTAGTTGTATCTAAAAATTGAGAAATTGCTTAAAATATTAAAATAATTCAATAAAAAAATACGAAAAATAAAAAAAAATTAATTTTTTGAGAAGTGAATCTTGAAAA